AATATTACATGTTAATAACTTGATTGGAATTATAACCTTGAATTGACAGTTTGATACTTTGAAAATTTTGAGCCAGCCCTACCCCCAAGGGCTGTAGGGTGGGGCTCAAAGGAGTCAGTGTGCTAAAATTTCTTCATTTTCCTTGTTAAGAATCAGAGGTGCTAGTTTCAAATCCTTTTCAGTCTGAAATCTGTATGCTAGATATTGAGTAAGGTGGTTTTATTGTTTTTTGTCACTTTGAATAATATTTCTGTTCATGTTAAAAACAAAATCAACTCTCTGTATAAATATATCAGGTGACCGTTAAGGCCCATGGGCCTCTTGTTCTCTTATTAAAATAACAAATAAAAAGTGGGTTAGACAGGCCCTTTGGGCCTCTTTTCTTAAATCTTGTTTCAAGGTAATTACAGATGACAGTACTATTGGTATGCTTGTTTAGCCCTTTAAAAAATTGTGTGAAAAACATAACATCAGGTTAAATCCAAGCCTTGCAGCTGTTGTAGAAGATATCTGGCCTGCTGTATCCCACTGCATACTCCTATGAGGTGACTAATGAGGAACCACCAACAAGTTGAAGGTTTTCACTCTCTCTTCTTCTCATCTGCCATCTAAATATAAATTAATACGACTGTGATTTGTTTGTTTGTGACAGCAGCTACGGGAAAAAGTAGAACTCCCAAAGTCGGCTCCGGTGAGTGTGCGTGTGGAAAGGTCCTCCATTCCAGATGGTTGGACTGTAGAAACCACAGAGGGGAATCAATACTTCATCAACAAACGAACCCAGGAAAAGGTAAGGAACACTGGGGAACCGCAAATCCTCTGAATATTAAACTAACATAGCAACTTTGTACAAAAAAAATTTGCCAAGTTTTTAGCTCATGATACATATTGATAAATGATTTTACTTCAATTTGAGGCTAACAATCAGGAGTTTGAAAATATTCTTAAATTTGGAACAGGTTGTGTATGTGTGAGGAGTTGTAAACCTATTACACTGTACATGTATTTACTGACTCTGATGCTAAGCTTAGGCTGAAACACTTACAGACTGGTGATTAAAATAAGTGTAATAAGTGTACAAAGGTAATATATCCTCTGACATAATTTAAAGAGGGATGTTACAAAGGTAAAATGTCCTCGACATTTAGTCATTATTATCGCCCTACAGATTTCATTTTCTATCAGATTGTCAGGAAACTTCATACACGTGTTCACAAACATGATCTCTTGTAGGAGTTCAGGTTTCAAGTTTATGAAGTTAAAAACAAGGTCACTGTTGCTATAAATAGTATTTTGGCATTAAATTCCCCTTTAGGCTTCATTTCTTTCCCAATTGTCATACAAACTTCATGTCAAACACTTCTTCTTGTACATGTTTGTATTTTAACCTTTGGGAGTCTCAAAACAAGGTGTAAATACCATTATATAAACAAAAATTGGAGTAATCATAATATATAGACTTTAGTTTTTTATCCGTTTATTTGAAAACCTTTTATGAGATTGTGTTTCCAACTTCTAGGGTCAAAAATAAGGTCATTGTTACTATAATTAAGAATTTGGAGCAAGCACTCTTCAGATTATAGGATCCAATTTTCATGAAGCTCAGACGACATTTTCATAAACGTCAACTTCTCGGCTAGAACATGCTTCGACTTTATAGATCGCCATTACCGGTATTATAAATGGAAAGTTTGTGGTCAACAGCCCTAACTTCACAGCAAATATTATCGTAATACATATATACAAGCGTGTTTTGTTTTCTGAAGCTTGGATATAACTATAGTAACAATACTGTACGCTAATGCCCTAATATAGCCATTATTACTTTGTCACCTGTAATAAGTCTAGGGCTTCATACTTACTCAGAAAGTTCTCAAAAAGGGGTACAAATAAGGTGAGGCCAGAGTGTCAAAAGAGTGGTACAAATCTAGCAAGTCCAGAGGGCCAAAAGAGGGGTACAAATCTGTTAAGTCAAGAGGGCCAAAAGAGGGGTACAAATCTAGCAAACCCAGAGTGCCAAAAGAGGGGTACAAATCTAGCAAGTCCAGAAGGCCAAAAGAGGGGAACAAATCTAGGAAATCCAGAGTGCCAAAAGAGGGGTACTGTTAAGTCCAGAGGGCCAAAAGAGGGGTACAAATATGTTAAGCCAAAAGAACCAAAAGAAGGGTTAAAATCTGGTAAGTACAGAAGACAAAGAGATGGTAAAAAATGATAAGTACAAAGGGCCAAAAGAAGAGTACAAATCAGGGGGCCAAAGAAGGATACCAAATATGATGTTGAATGGGTGGAAAAAAGAGGGGTACAGAATAGGATAAATCCAAGGAGCCCAAGAAAGGATACAGAATGTGACAAGTCACGGGGCCTTAGAAAGGATACAGAATGTAACAAGTCACGGGGCCTTAGAAAGGATACAGAATGTGACAAGTCACAGGGCCTTAGAAAGGATACAGAATGTGACAAGTCACGGGGCCTTAGAAAGAGTACACTTTGTTATCAGGGTACTGAATGTTCAAAAGTCTAGAGGGACTAACTCTAAGAAAAGGTAAAGAAAAGTATTATGTTTATTCCCAAATTTGACCGTATTTTTCTCCCTCATTTATAAAGTCAAGGGGTGGGCTTAACAGCAAGCATGGGCTTATCACAGGCAAAGAGTGATGAACTGACAGTATCTACTGTTTGTTGATACTCTTTTTTGGAGTTAATGCTTCAAATTAAGCTTTTTATTATATATCTACTGTTGAAATTCTGTTGGCTTTGATGGCGCCTTAGCTTGAAGTGAAATTAGTAAAATTGAAAAACAGAAAACTGCTAGGAGACTATTGCCTCCCATGTGTGGGCCATTTGCTTGTTTTAGTGGGGTACACATACAGACGAAAACGGCAAGCCCTACTTCTACAAACTAGACACCGGCGAAACGGCATGGCAACTACCAGAGGTATGTAGGTGAAGGTCGTTTGTTACCATAACAACAATGCAAATTAGGTCATGTAGCTTGGATTTTAATAGTAGGCTAATAAGGGAGATATTGAGCCTGTTACAAAGGTTAATTATATATCATTATCTTACTGTTTTGTTTTATGAAATTTTTCTCATTTGTTAAGTCTTCTACTTTTGTCCTGTTAAATAGTTTTTTATGTGAACTGTTTTAATTTAATAACATTTTCTGTCTATTTCTAACCTTATCATAGAATATTCTAAATTGAATTTTAGCTTTTAGTTGATTAAACTAATCACAAAATAATATTTAACCATAAAAATAAAGTTGTTTCATTTAGAAAATGGATTCGATTTTTAGAAATATATATAGTACAGGTATTTCATAAATTGATTCATGCATGAATTAAAAATAATAAATTTACCATTTAGTAGATTTGCTGTGATTAAAATTTGCTTCAACAATAAATAAAAAATAGCCATTTTGGAATGAAGTATTATAATCTGACTATTTGAAAGTGTACCTGTTAGCATGATACTGTGTGATACCTGTGTGTTATCCCTGTGTGTTATTTCTGTGTAATCTCTGTGTGAGGTGAATTCGTAACAGCTAGCATATAAGCAGTCCTTGTAGTTTTTAGTACGGAATCATGAATTTGTTTGCTAAATCATTTAAGACTTCGTGTGAATGACTGACGAATGAACTGCATGGGAAGTAAACTGACATTAGATTGTCTCCTGGATTATATATAGATATTACAGTCTGAGATTTGAGGAATGTAAAAACTCTTACAATCTGAGATTGAAAATGTGTGACATATAAAATGTTACAGTCTAAGATTAAGACATTGTGAGGTATAAACTGTTACACTGAGATTAGGGAAATGTAAGGTATAAACTGTTACACTGAGATTAGGAAAAGGTAAGGTATAAACTGTTACACTGAGATTAGGGAAATGTAAGGTATAAAATGTTATACTGAGATTAGGGAAATGTAAGGTATAAACTATTACACTGAGATTAGGGAAATGTAAGGTTTAAAATGTTATACTGAGATTAGGAAATGTAAGGTATAAACTATTACACTGAGATTAGGGAAATGTAAGGTATAAACTGTTACACTGAGATTAGGGAAATGTAAGGTATAAACTGTTACACTGAGATTAGGGAAACGAAGGTATAAACTGTTACACTGAGATAAGGTAAATGTAAGGTATAAACTGTTACACTGAGATTAGGGAAATGTAAGGTATAAACTGTTACACTGAGATTAGGGAAATGTAAGGTTTAAAATGTTACACTGAGATTAGGGAAATGTAAGGTTTAAAATGTTACACTGAGATTAGGGAAATGTAAGGTTTAAAATGTTACACTGAGATTAGGGAAATGTAAGGTTTAAAATGTTACACTGAGATTAGGGAAATGTAAGGTTTAAAATGTTACACTGAGATTAGGGAAATGTAAGGTTTAAAATGTTACACTGAGATTAGGGAAATGTAAGGTTTAAAATGTTACACTGAGATTAGGGAAATGTAAGGTTTAAAATGTTACACTGAGATTAGGGAAATGTAAGGTTTAAAATGTTACACTGAGATTAGGGAAATGTAAGGTTTAAAATGTTACACTGAGATTAGAGAAATGTAAGGTATAAACTGTTACACTGAGATTAGGGAAATGTAAGATATAAACTGTAACACTGAGATTAGGGAAATGTAAGGTATAAAATGTTACACTGAGATTAGAGAAATGTAAGGTATAAACTGTTACACTGAGATTAGGGAAATGTAAGGTATAAACTGTTACACTGAGATTAGGGAAATGTAAGGTATAAACTGTTACACTGAGATTAGGGAAATGTAAGGTATAAACTGTTACACTGAGATTAGGGAAATGTAAGGTTTAAACTGTTACACTGAGATTAGGGAAATGTAAGGTATAAACTGTTATACTGAGATTAGGGAAATGTAAGGTATAAACTGTTACACTGAGATTAGGGAAATGTAAGGTATAAACTGTTACACTGAGATTAGGGAAATGTAAGGTTTAAACTGTTACACTGAGATTAGGGAAATGTAAGGTATAAACTGTTACACTGAGATTAGGGAAATGTAAGGTATAAACTGTTACACTGAGATTAGGGAAATGTAAGGTATAAACTGTTACACTGAGATTAGGGAAATGTAAGGTATAAACTGTTACACTGAGATTAGGGAAATGTAAGGTATAAACTGTTACACTGAGATTAGGGAAATGTAAGGTATAAACTGTTACACTGAGATTAGGGAAATGTAAGGTATAAACTGTTACACTGAGATTAGGGAAATGTAAGGTATAAACTGTTACACTGAGATTAGGGAAATGTAAGGTATAAACTGTTACACTGAGATTAGGGAAATGTAAGGTATAAACTGTTACACTGAGATTAGGGAAATGTAAGGTATAAACTGTTACACTGAGATTAGGGAAATGTAAGGTATAAACTGTTACACTGAGATTAGGGAAATGTAAGGTATAAACTGTTACACTGAGATTAGGGAAATGTAAGGTATAAACTGTTACACTGAGATTAGGGAAATGTAAGGTATAAACTGTTACACTGAGATTAGGGAAATGTAAGGTATAAACTGTTACACTGAGATTAGGGAAATGTAAGGTATAAACTGTTACACTGAGATTAGGGAAATGTAAGGTATAAACTGTTACACTGAGATTAGGGAAATGTAAGGTATAAACTGTTACACTGAGATTAGGGAAATGTAAGGTATAAACTGTTACACTGAGATTAGGGAAATGTAAGGTATAAACTGTTACACTGAGATTAGGGAAATGTAAGGTATAAACTGTTACACTGAGATTAGGGAAATGTAAGGTATAAACTGTTACACTGAGATTAGGGAAATGTAAGGTATAAACTGTTACACTGAGATTAGGGAAATGTAAGGTATAAACTGTTACACTGAGATTAGGGAAATGTAAGGTATAAACTGTTACACTGAGATTAGGGAAATGTAAGGTATAAACTGTTACACTGAGATTAGGGAAATGTAAGGTATAAACTGTTACACTGAGATTAGGGAAATGTAAGGTATAAACTGTTACACTGAGATTAGGGAAATGTAAGGTATAAACTGTTATACTGAGATTAGGGAAATGTAAGGTATAAACTGTTACACTGAGATTAGGGAAATGTAAGGTTTAAACTGTTACACTGAGATTAGGGAAATGTAAGGTATAAACTGTTATACTGAGATTAGGGAAATGTAAGGTATAAACTGTTACACTGAGATTAGGGAAATGTAAGGTATAAACTGTTACACTGAGATTAGGGAAATGTAAGGTATAAACTGTTATACTGAGATTAGGGAAATGTAAGGTATAAACTGTTACACTGAGATTAGGGAAATGTAAGGTATAAACTGTTACACTGAGATTAGGGAAATGTAAGGTATAAACTGTTATACTGAGATTAGGGAAATGTAAGGTATAAACTGTTACACTGAGATTAGGGAAATGTAAGGTATAAACTGTTACACTGAGATTAGGGAAATGTAAGGTATAAACTGTTATACTGAGATTAGGGAAATGTAAGGTATAAACTGTTACACTGAGATTAGGGAAATGTAAGGTATAAACTGTTACACTGAGATTAGGGAAATGTAAGGTATAAACTGTTATACTGAGATTAGGGAAATGTAAGGTATAAACTGTTACACTGAGATTAGGGAAATGTAAGGTATAAACTAGCTGTTACACTGAGATTAGGAAATGTAAGGTATAAACTGTTACATTGAGATTAGAGAAATGTAAGGTATAAACTGTTACACTGAGATTAGGGAAATGTAAGGTATAAACTGTTACACTGAGATTAGGGAAATGTAAAGTATAAACTGTTACACTGAGATTAGGAAATGTAAGGTATAAACTAGCTGTTACACTGAGATTAGGAAATGTAAGGTATAAACTGTTATACTGCTATATTAGGAATCACTGTGTGCTATATAAACTTATTGAAACTAGGGATGTTTACTGAGTATTGTGTCAACTGCTACAATCTGACTGTGCAAAGGTCACACTAAATATTACTGTGAAAAGTTTGATTAAAATCCAATTCGATAATTTATTTCTTGCATTTTTTCCCCCAGTATTTTGATGAGGGAAATGCATTAAGCAGGCGTGCTGCTTTCAAACGTCAGTCTGCTGAATCGGTCAGAACATAGCACAACTCCATTACATCGGTGGAATTATTTAAACAAAGTCACTCTGATCAAAATCTCACTGCCTAACATGGTAACTTCTGCAAAGCACANGAGGGTAGTATTAAGGTTAGGCACTAAACTCTAGGGACTGGGAGGGTAATATTAAGGTTAGGCAGTAAACTCTAGGGACTGGTCGAGGGTATTATTAAGGTTAGGCACTAAACTCTAGGGACTGGGAGGGTAGTATTAAGGTTAGGCACTAAACTCTAGGGACTGGTCGATGGTAATATTAAGGTTAGGCACTAAACTCTAGGGACTGGGAGGGTAGTATTAAGGTTCAGCACTGAACTCTAGGGACTGATCATAGAGGGTAGTATTAAGGTTAGGCACTAAACTCTAGGGACTGTGAGGGTAGTATTAAGGTTAGGCACTAAACTCTAGGGACTGGTCAAGGGTAGTATTAAGGTTAGGCACTAAACTTTAGGGACTGATCATAGAGGGTAGTATTAAGTTTAGGCACTAAACTCTAGGGACTGGTCGAGGGTTGTATTAAGGTTAGGCACTAAACTCTAGGGACTGGTCGATGGTAGTATTAAGGTTAGGCACTAAACTCTAGGGACTGGGAGGGTAATATTAAGGTTAGGCAGTAAACTCTAGGGACTGGTCGAGGGTATTATTAAGGTTAGGCACTAAACTCTAGGGACTGGGAGGGTAGTATTAAAGTTAGGCACTAAACTCAAGGGACTGGTCGAGGGTAGAGAAAGTGGAAACTGTATTTTTGAACTGCAGAAACAGTATATGCACATTGGCGGTTATGGGAGGAACACAATGTTATGATATGTAACCACTGGGTTATAAACGCAATATTTATGAATGTAATTTATATATACATTATAGTTATATCAAATCAAACAATAGAACCATTAATGATATTATATATTAACTAAAGGCAAAATAGATATGTATATCTATGTAATTTATATATCCATGATAGTAATATTAAATGAAACAATAAAACTGTTAATTATATTATGTATTTAATAATAGAAATAGACCTAGTAATGTGTACACTTACTATTACTAACAAAATAATACACGTTTTAATAAATTGTAACGCCTATCATTGTATCAATGCTATTAATGATGGACACTCTGAGGCTCAGGGGCCCTTCTGTCCCTCTATCTCAATTAAAATATCTAAAAACAATTAGCATTATTTCTGAATAATGGAAATCGCCTAAAAATAGTTTGGAATATTGTAGGATTGGAGCAACTAATTGTTTACTACACTATTGATTTAAAACAAAATTTCCCACTAACTATATATAGCTATCAGTAAGTGATACTAGACCACCAAAACTGATGTATCAGTTATTGATCACTATGTTAAGTATCGTCCTTGTTCACTTGAGATTGTTCTGCACCGTGTTCATATAGCCGTAATTTATTGTCTGTTCTCTGATGTTTTTACCTGGGTTTTTTCACACTCTGTCCATCCGTCCATCCATCCTTCCATCCTTCCTCCCCTGTTTTGTTCTATTTTCTACCTATCATGCATAGTCTTGCACATTGTTGAGATAGTTTTGATGAAATCTAAATAGGAAAACTGTTTTGGACTGTTCTTGTCTTAATCCTGTACACCAGTTAATGTTCTTGTGTCTGTATGTTTCAATGACCTGGTAATATTTATAAAAAGAAAAAAGATTTTAACTGATAATTGCATGACTTATAAATTTAAAAAAAAGTGTAAAATTATTCCGGTTTTTTTTCATAATAAACTCATACTAATTGAAATCAATGTATTTTACAGTATTTTTCATGTACAAATAGGACCTGCTCAATTGCGGAGAAAATCACCTGTAAAAATAAAAGAAATATATCAAAGCCACATGTCAAATAGTTTCACCAGAAAAATACAAAAACTTGAAAAAAAAATCATCTCAGAGTTTGAAATAAGACAGTCTAAAAGAAGCAAATGTAAACAAGCATAGATGAGAATTCAAAATTATTGATACATTGTAACCAACATGGACAAGGTCTGAAATGAGTCATTAAAACTACTTTTATGTAGAAAGTACTTAATTTATTATCCATCTACTTTATCATTTTCAGATAATAATACTTTATTTCATGGTTCCTGCAGAAATAAATGATACCCTTCATAAATAATCCAATCAAAATTTAAAAAAAATGTTTGTGTTCACCAGAGGTTCCCTGATTTCAGTCACCTATGACGTTTTTTCTGTACCAAATTGTGTTTCGTGTGTTAAGTGTATGCAAGAATTAAATTCTTTATCTCAGTATTGTAACCTATTGATTTGTTCACATTTAATGAGAAAATAGGATTTAATACTATCAGTTCTGTATATTTCTTAATCTTTCCAGGATTTTTTATGAAAAAAAAAGACGAAAGATGCTATTGGTTCTGAAACATTTCAAATTTATTTTTATTTATTTGATATTCGTAGCTTTGAACCAAGTAAAAGTACAGAGTATATGACATGTCCGCACTTGATTTGAAGGTTACTAAGTTGTTAACCTCGAATGGAGACCCTACCAGTGCCAACATTCCACGCTCCAGATCTCCTCAGAGGATAGCTCCTCAAAACCCACGATCGGTTAAGACACAGTCTATGTACTTGGAATCACACCTCAACTTCGGGAGCTTCCAAGGCCAACTCCCCGGGGGTCTCATGTCCAAGTCCTCCACGCTTCCAGTGAACCCCTCCTCGGTGCCCGAGGTCGGGGGTCTACCCAAGTCTCAGACCCTGCCCTATAACCTACAGGGACTAACGCCTGGTAACGCCCCTGTGAGTTGAACCTATAATTAATTGCATGCTGTAAAACACTCCAATTTAATGACTTCAATTCAGAACAGAATATTTAAATTTAGATGGAATTGTTTTGCGTTAAATTGTAATCTTTCTGGCAAAATATATAAAAAGCTTGAAAATATGTATTATTTTTTTATAAAATATTCCGACACGGCAGTAGTGAGAAAATACTGTAAAAGATTTTTTTTCAAAATCCACAATTTTTTTGTAATTTTGTAATTTTGCTAAAAGGAGATGTATTTTTTTAAAGATAGAAGTCTAGTGGCTATGACAAAATGTTGATGTATGAATTTGTTATCAATTTCGCAGGTTGCACTTTCACAAAAAAATATGTTTCTGCAGAAAATGTGGAAATTAGAACTCTGCCAAACATAAAAAGAACTTTTACAGTACCTTTTCATTTAATAGACTCACTTAGTGATCACAGTTTATAAGATAACTCAAGGGGAATCTCAACCCTCAGGGGAAGATTCTCAAGTTGCCAAACACGAGGCTTTGTCGGGTGTTTGGCAACTTAAGAATCTTTCCCCGAGGGTTGAGATTCCCAATCTCACCTCAAGAGGGTGAATGATTCTTTTTCTCTTACCCTGTTCACCCATTGTGTATCATAAACATAATGTAATGTTGACATTACAGGCTAAATTAATTGTTGACGTGGCGTTGATGGATTGTTGACGTGTAATATGTTAAATTTTCCTTTTGATCAATGGAAAAATAACGACTGCAGAAATAATTTTCTGCTCCTTTCAAATGTGTTATTTGTTAATTTTCATGTTATCTAAAACATCTCTATTTATTGTAAGTAATGTCAATGTCCTTTTTACTGAAGTCTTTTGTGAGCGATGGGAGAACAAGAGTCGATCCTTATGAACGTATATCGGATGTGGAAATTCTTCCCTCTCTTGTAGCATTTGGTGTCAGAAATTACTTAAGTGAGCCTCGGGTCTGACCTTAATTCTACACGGTTGGGTAGAATTTTCCATATCCCCACACCTACCTACATGTGATAGAATCTATTAGTTATACCTAGTAATGTGATATATACAGAAGAAGTGTCACAGATCATTTATGCAATGACAAGTTTTCAATTTCTTTATATTTGGATTGGAACTTCCTTATGGAACAATATACTACATGATATGTTTGTTAATAGAAAACAAATTTAATTTGTTTTTATGCTAAGTTATATAAGTTCATTTATAAATTCTAAAAAAGTTTTCATTATAATTACTAAAGTACTGAATAAGTAATTGAAAATAAATGTCTTGTATGGAAGGTTTATGATAATTTAACTGGCTTTATTTTATATTTTTTGGCAAATCAGCACATGAGTTACCTCCCTTTTAACAAGATACATGTTTCAGAAATTTAAGTATCTTGGCGGTTTGTTATTGGTTCTTAAAAAAAAAAAAAAAAAAGTTTTTTTTGTGCATTTGGTCCTGTTTTGATTTTCATCCATAGTTAAGCTAAAAGGGAGATAAATCTTGTTGTAGGAGGACAATTGTGTAAAAGCATAAGAATATAAAGTTTTAGTTTTGAAGCTCAATACATTTATTAGTATTTGAAGAGAAATATGATTTGAGTATGACTTTGATGTTGTAATGTTTATATTGAAACTATTGTCAGTGTGGAAATTTTGATGTTTACACATGCATAAATGTGAAATAAGTGGGGGAGGGTGCTTTTATTAAGAATTTTGATAAAGAATTTTCTGACAACTCATGTGAAGGATATGTGTAAAGTTTTTTGTTTTTTGTTGAATCTCTTTGCTAGGGTATAGGTTGATGATGAAATTAGAAAACAGTATACATTTCTAAAGTTAAATAAGTTTGCTGAAATGTTTGAACGGTAAAATATTTTATTTACAACATTTTGGGAGGGTGAGTATAGGAGGTTTCCTGCACTACTTATTCATTTCTGATCATGTACAATCAGAAAGTTGAGCAACTGCTTGGTTTCATCAGGGTATAAGATTGCTATATGTTGAGCTAGCCAACAAGTGTTTTGGTATTTTCTTATCACAAGATTAGAAGAAAGACTTCAAACCAGCAATAATAATTCTAAATAAGGGTAGTTCCTCTAGATCTGCCTGTTCTACATCCACTGGTAGATCAGGGTGCTGTTGTGTTTAAGCACATTCCCAAAACATTTGGATGGAGGGAAATATTTTTGGATTTTATCATATTTTTTTTTTTTTTTTTTTACATCAGCACCTTGCCTCCAACCATTGGATCTTTCAAATGGTATATAGAATGCATGGTGCAGAGACAGCTATTCCGTCTTTTCGTATTGCAGAGTTATCTGCTCTTGTGAGCAGGTATTGATTGTTATGTCATTAGTTTGTGTGAGAAAATTACGTCGTTTTCTCAAAGATTTATGACGTTACTCTCGCAAACAAATGACGTAACAATCAATACCTGCTCACAAGAGAAGATAACTCTGGAATACGAAAAGACGGGATATTACATAATATAAATGGAGTATTATACTCGAGGAATGCATGTTTTTTGAGAATGGGCTGACATAGATTCTCAGCAGTAGCTCACAGATTTGTCTATACTTACTTATACAAGGTAACAGGCTGATGCATGAGCTTTGAACTTAGTAAGGTAGTGGACAATATATATTTGAAATACGAAATTCAAAATACAAAATTCAAAATATTAAAGTGGGAAGTAATTGGAAATTTGAAATACAAAACTTGCAGGATTTTACATTTATCTGAATTAATCTCAGAATTTGAATCAGAAACTTAAAGGAATATACATATATTTGGATTAGAATGTATAATTACATACAAAGAACTTGCATTTGAATCAGTCTTCATTTTCAAACATTTTTAAGAATTTCCATTAAGTGTTTCCTTGTTTAAACTATCCATCAGTATTCAAGCATTGATGTGTTTGAATAAAATAACATACATATATTCAAATTCGGAAAACATGGAATCAGAATATGTATACAAAATATTCAAATGTATATAATTGGACTGATTGAGACCCTTCTGGAATCAAATACAACGTACTACACTCCAGCTGTATTGTAATATCCCATGGAGACTGACATATTGTAATATTTAGAAATATGAATTATATTATACGTTGATTTAATCAGATTGAACAAGTATGTCATTAGCTGTCTACCCGTAAGTGAATTCTGAGTTGGATCAACTCAATATGCAGTTTTTAATCGATTTGATCGTCAAACCTGTGGAAAATTTACGATGACAAACAATGATGTAAATGTGAAGGTTCGAGAGCCTGAGAGCCTGATCACTGCCTGTTGGGTTATTAAACTCACAGCAGGGATACTACGTAAAAACTGACATTAGACCTGCAAATAAAAAGTGTTAAATTTTGTGTTTAGCATTAATATCATGCTTCCACTTATACAAAAATTCTGCTTGGTTGCCCCACATAGCTTACTAAAGCTTTGCTCTTTTCACATTTCCTTGTAACTTTAACCTGCTTTCAAAGAAAATAGAGCGACAGACCACCTAGCTGTAGCTGATAGCTTGTAGTGTGAGAAAGTAGCCGGCACACATATCTGGTCTAGACGGTGCTGTAATCAGTGTTGTTACATACTACGGTAGCTGTAACAGGTCCAGGAGGGGGAAGATGGGCTGCATCTTGCTGATTTTGTATGAATAATGTCAAATAAATGTTTATGGGAATTAAAGCTTATTGTATTAGACATCGGGTTATCAGAACTTGTATAACACCTAGCTCAATTTGCCAATTTTTCAGAAAAATTTGAGCTGGTTTCCAATGAGAATCGGACAAAATAGTTATTAATCAGCATTTTTCCTGAGACACAATTCTTAGCTTTTTCACTTTAAAACTTTTTACAATATATTATTCGTAACTTAGTTTATATTGATAATGAAATAATTACGTATTGATATATGTTTTACAAGTATTTACAGGCATTTTATACCCAATGTTTTCTTCATTTTATAAGGAACTTGAAAAGAAAGTATTTCATCCTGGGACGTCCAATCAAGGGGTAAGAGATATCATGTACATGTATATGTACCACATCAGAGGCAAACGTGTAACAACATATCCAAGGTTCCCAATTCCACAGTTTTTATCTTTATTGTAAATAGAATCCAATTAACCATGAAACATCAATTTAAACCTAACTTAGTAAATATTTTTCGAAATAACAGGGTTGTTTTACAGATATCTTCCTCTAGTATTTTATGATTAGCCCTTTTACCACTGGAGACCAAACTGGACTCATCCAGGTCAATGCATGGAAGAGTTAACTTAAGTGACACAGGGGTGAAAGGGTTAGACGTCGATTTGGAATAATTATTGCTATAGGAAAGAGTCATGACTTTTGAATTGCACTTTTCCTTACCCGTTGAAAACCTTGAGTTCATATAGCAGAATTATTTGCAACCCAGTCCTAAAATTATTACAGCATCCATTCATCCTTATAACCACCGACAACATACTTCTTATTAGGTCACCTAGTCCGAAGGACCATAGTGAACTTATGCCGTGGCGCAGCGTCCGTCGTCCTTCGTCGTTCGTAGTCAACTTTTTCTTTAAAACCTATCTCCTCCTAAACGCCAAAGAGGATTTCAACCAAATTTTATCTGAAGCATCACTAGGGGAGGGCAATCATTTCTTGAATAAATGAGGTTGGTTTGACCCCTGAGGCTAGGGGGGCAGGGCCCTGAAGGGGAACTTAGCTAAATTTGCTTTAAAACATATCTCCTAAACACCAAAAAGGATTTCAATCAAATTTAGTCTTAAGCATCACTAGGGAAAGGCAATCATTTCCTAAATAAATGAGGCTGGTTCAAGCCCTGGGGCTAGTAAGACCGGGCCCAAAGAGGAAAATTATCTAATATTTTGCTTTAAGACGCTAATACCCCCTTATTGCCTGAGTGGATTGTACAAAATTTGGTCAAAAACATTATTGAGGAAGAACAAACATTTCTAATTGAATGAGGTTGATTTGACCCCTGCGGTCCTAAGAAATGGTACAGCTAGATTATCATATTCTATGGTGTAGTTTTCTTAAATTGTTAAAAATTGGTTTCTAGGTTTATAAAAGCTTATAGTTGAATGAAAATTAAAGTATTGTCTTATTACACCCTGTAATATGACATATTACTTATTTCCAAATCTGTTAACATGGCAACTCAATGGATGCCCCTGATTAGTTGAAAGTCAGATATTGTGGTCCCAGTTGGATTAGAGCATAGATCTTGTCTGGTTTTGAGGAAATTTCATATAAAGATGTACTAATGCATTCAGTTGTAATGACTTATAATACTATATAAAACCAGGTGAGCGATACAGGTCCAATGGACATCTTGTTCCAAATCACATTCAGTCCACTAATATGTAGTGGGCCTATAATGCTCCACTGTGTTGCAATTATTTTTAACTAGTATGATGTATTTTTTATTACAGCAGGAAAAGATCTGTGGAATGCTCAAGAAGAGGATGATTGTGGAGTTAGGAAAGCAGGTCAAGTAAGTGTATTCTACCTTTTGAAGGACTGTAGTTTGCTTTGTTTGTGTTTTACGTCCTATTAACAGCTATGGTCATTTGAAGGACGTGCCAGGTATTGGTGGTGGATGTAAGCCTGAGTTCCCGGAGAAAAAGCACCGACCTGGGACCAGTACTTGGCTACTGCCCATGTAGTTCTTGAACCCGCGACCAAGTGATGGAGGGCTAGTGATGGTAGATGGTCAGACGCCTTAACCACTCGGCCACTGTGGCCCCCTTTGTTTTGAGGCTAAGTAGACTATACCCTAAATGATTGTGTTAGTTTCAACCACTCGGCCACTGTTGCCCCCTTTGTTTTGAGGCTTAGTAGACTATTCCCTAAATGATTGTGTTAGTTTCAACCACTCGGCCACTGTTGCACCCTTTGTTTTGAGGCTTAGTAGACTATACCCTAAATGGTTGTGTTAGTTTCAACCACTCGGCCACCGTTGCCCCCTTTGATTTGTGGCTAATTAGTAGACTATACCCTAAATGATTGTGTTAGTTTCATCCACTCGGCCACCGTTGCCCCCTTGTTTTGAGGCTTAGTAGACTATACCCTAAATGGTTGTGTTAGTTTCAACCACTCGGCCACCGTTGCCCCCTTTGTTTTGAGGCTTAGTAGACTTTACCCTAAATGATTGTGTTAGTTTCAACCACTCGGCCACCGTTGCCCCCTTTGTTTTGAGACTTAGAAGACTATACCCTAAATGATTGTGTTCGTTTCAACCACTCGGCCACCGTTGCCCCCTTTGATTTGTGGCTAATTAGTAGACTATACCCTAAATGATTGTGTTAGTTTCATCCACTCGGCCACCGTTGCCCCCTTGTTTTGAGGCTTAGTAGACTATACCCTAAATGGTTGTGTTAGTTTCAACCACTCGGCCACCGTTGCCCCCTTGTTTTGAGGCTTAGTAGACTATACCCTAAATGGTTGTGTTAGTTTCAACCACTCGGCCACCGTTGCCCCCTTTGTTTTGAGACTTAGCAGACTTTACCCTAAATGATTGTGTTCGATTCAGTAGACATCATTCTTTCCTATGAAGAAAGGTTTTAGTTCGTTCTTTGTTAAACTCATTGTTTTGTCACAGTTTTTGACGAGTTTGTCATTTGTGAGATTACATTATTGATGATATATACAAGCAAACTTTTATTCTATAGGTTGTGAAATTGTATATAATTGTTGTTTAATAAGAAAAACGTTGTTTCTGTTGTTCATGTGACTGATTCTTGTGTTACAGGAAAAGCTTCAGTCCGTCGTTTGTAAAACTGTTGGGGACCAACCTGGTGTTTTACAAGAACCGCCAGGCATCAACACAGCAGGGCTCCAAGCATGGCAAGCCAGAGTTTATGGAGCCCCTGCAGGGAGCACACATCGACAAGTACCCCCATAAACGTCACCTCAACGTCCTGGTGGTGAGTCACAATGGCGTGGTCTACTTTTGACTACAAACAACTATGAGTTGTGATACGTTGTACAAAGAATGAAGATCATATTTACTGTTGGGACATCATAAGAATACAGAGCTGTTGTAATTTTTTGTGCTTCAAAATCCTGCACTTTGTTGACGAAGTAATATTCTACAGTAATATTTTCTTTGTAGCACTTCAAAATGTAAGATTTTATTTTTTCCTCATTGAAAACAATACATATTTTGATCATATGGTGAAATATACTGATATCTTCTTCACTAGTGCTCTCAATACGTTCAAAAAGCATCAGTATTTTACCATACTCATAAAGTATGGTATTCAATCGAAACCCATAAAATACCTCTGTATCTTTTTATTCTGAAGAGATCATTACATTTAAGTATTTACATATGTTGGGCATGAAGACATGAAATATAAATAAATATATATATATTTTTTGTGTTTATTGCATACACCATACATATCACCTGATCTTTCCCTAGCGTCTAATCCTTTTGTTAACTCAATAAAATTTGTTGAAAACAAAACAAAATCTTCCCCTAATAAAACCTTGATTGATTTTAAAAAATGTATATATTTGCCTGTTTGTGACCTTTGATGTGTGATGTACTTGTAGCTGTCGACCTGTAACAAGAACCAGTACCAGCTACAGCTGGAGGATGAGATCGACATGCAGAAATGGTTGTCTACACTTGAACTCACCATCAAAGAACTGGTATGGTCAAATCACCACTCCTCTCTCATTTCCTTCTGTAGAACACATCCTCAGACCTCAACGACTGTTTTACCATCATTAAATAACCTTTCACCTTTCGAGGATATTGTAAAGCAAAAGCAAGATATTGTTAAATGATATTTCTGTAGTGCAGCACACCTGTTTCCAGGTCCTTGTCTGCAGATGGGGTCTTGATCAAAGGTCAAATAAATACTGTCTACAGGAAATTTTCGCTGCAGTTAAACTTTCGCCTATTCGCTCTCTCCAGTGAAGGCAATTTATCTTTCCCTTATTCACTCTCTCCAGTGAGGGCAATTTATCTTTCACCTATTCGCTTTCTCCAGTGAGTGCAATTTATCTTTCGCCTATTTGCTCTCACCAGTGAGGGCAATTTATCTTTCCCCTATTCGCTCTCTCCAGTGAGGGCGATTTATCTTTCACCTATTCGCTTTCTCCAGTGAGGGCAATTTATCTTTCGCCTATTCGCTCTCTCCAGTGAGGGCATTATATCTTTTGCCTATTCGCTCTCTCCAGTGAGGGCAGTTTATCTTTCACCTTTTCGCTTTCTCCAGTTAGGGCAATTTATCTTTCACCTTTTCGCTTTCTCCAGTGAGGGCAATTTATCTTTCGCCTATTCGCTCTCTCCAGTGAGGGCAATTTATCTTTCCCCTATTCGCTCTCTCCAGTGAGGGCGATTTATCTTTCGCCTATTCGCTCTCTCCAGTTAGGGCGATTTATCTTTCACCTATTCGCTCTCTCCAGTGAGGGCGATTTATCTTTCACCTATTCGCTCTCTCCAGTGAGGGCGATTTATCATTCCAGCAAATTTTAGTACACAACATGTAATATATAGTAATAACATGTGAAGGGCTAAATTAGCACTTGGCGAACGTGGATTTTATCGAAAAAGGGCAAACATTTTAATGGGTGAAAGTTTGAGTATGAAAGGGAATTTTTTGAATTCTTTATATGCATAGAAAATTTAGTTGGTTGGGGTAGTTTAGAGGTATATATAGTTGTTTGGGGTAGTTCAGAGGTATAGATAGTTGGTTGGGGTAGTTTAGAGGTATAGATAGTTGGTTGGGGTAGTTTAGAGGTATAGATAGTTGGTTGGGGTAGTTTAGAGGTATTGATAGTTGGTTGGGGTAGTTTAGATGTATATGTAGTTGGTTGGGTTTAGAGGTAAAGATAGTTGGTTGGGGTAGTTTAGAGGTATAGATAGTTGGTTGGGGTAGTTTAGAGGTATAGATAGATAGTTGGTTGGGTTTAGAGGTATAGATAGTTGGTTGGGGTAATTTAGAGGTATTGATAGTTGGTTGGGGTAGTTTAGAGGTATAGGTAGTTGGTTGGGGTAGGTTAGAGGTATAGATAGTTGGTTGCGGTAGTCTAGAGGTATAGATAGTTGGTTGGGGTAGTTTAGAGGTTTAGATAGTTGGTTGGGGTAGTTTAGAGGTATATATAGTTGGTTGGGGTAGTTTAGAGGTAAAGATAGTTGGTTGGGGTAGTTTAGATGTATATGTATTTGGTTGGGTTTAGAGGTAAAGATAGTTGGTTGGGGTAGTTTAGAGGTATAGATAGATAGTTGGTTGGGGTAGTTTAGAGGTATATGAAGTTAGTTGGGGTAGTTTAGAGGTATAGATAGTTGATTGGGGTAGTTTAGAGGTATAGATAGTTGGTTGGGTTTAGAGGTATATGTAGTTGGTTGGGGTAGTTTAGAGGTATATATAGATAGTTGGTTGGGTTTAGAGGGATAGATAGTTGGTTGGGTTTAGAGGTAAAGATAGTTGGTTGGGGTTGTTTAGAGGTATATATAGATAGTTGGTTGGGTTTAGAGGTATAGATATTTGGTTGGGTTTAGAGGTAAAGATAGTTGGTTGGGGTTGTTTAGAGGTATATATAGATAGTTGGTTGGGTTTAGAGGTATAGATATTTGGTTGGGTTTAGAGGTAAAGATAGTTGGTTGGGGTAGTTTAGAGGTATATATAGTTGTTTGGGGTAGTTTAGAGGTATATACAGTTGTTTGGGGTAGTTTAGAGGTATAGATAGATAGTTGGTTGGGTTTAGAGGTATAGATAGTTGGTTGGGTTTAGAGGTATTTGTAGTTGGTTGGGGTAGTTTAGAGGTATAGATAGTTGTTTGGGGTAGTTTAGAGGTAAATGAAGTTGGTTGGGGTAGTTTAGAGGTATTTGTAGTTGGTTGGGGTAGTTTAGAGGTATAGATCGTTGGTTGGGGTAGTTTAGAGGTATAGTTAGTTGGTTGGGTTTAGAGGTATAGATAGTTGGTTGCGGTAGGTTAGAGGTATATATAGTTGGTTGGGGTAGTTTAGAGGCATAGATAGTTGGTTGGGGGAATTTACAGGTATAGATAGTTGGTTGGGGGAGTTTAGAGGTATTGATAGTTGGTTGGGGGAGTTTAGAGGTATTGATAGTTGGTTGGGGGAGTTTAGAGGTATAGATAGTTGTTTGGGGTAGTTTAGAGGTAAATGAAGTTGTTTGGGGTAGTTTAGAGGTATAGACAGTTGTTTGGGGTAGTTTAGAGGTATAGATATTTGGTTGGGGTAGTTTAGAGGTATAGATATTTGGTTGGGGTAGTTTAGAGGTATAGATCGTTGGTTGGGGTAGTTTAGAGGTATAGATATTTGGTTGGGGTAGTTTAGAGGTATATACAGTTGTCTGGGGTAGTTTAGAGGTATAGATAGATAGTTGGTTGGGTTTAGAGGTATAGTTAGTTGGTTGGGTTTAGAGGTATAGATAGTTGGTTGCGGTAGTTTAGAGGTATAGATAGTTGGGTGGGGTAGTTTAAAAGTATAGGCAGTTGGTTGGGTTTAGGGGCATAGATAGTTGGTTGGGGTAATTTACAGGAATAGATGGTTGGTTGGGGTAGTTTAGAGGTATATGTAGTTGGTTGGGGTAGTTTAGAGGGATTTGTAGTTGGTTGGGGTAGTTTAGAGATAAAGATAGTTGGTTCGGTTTAGAGGTATAGATAGTTGGTTGCGGTAGTTTAGAGGTATAGATAGTTGGTTGCGGTAGTTTAGAGGTATATATAGTTGGTTGGGGTAGTTTAGAGGTATAGGTAGTTGGTTGGGGTAGTTTAAAGGTATATGTAGTTGGTTGGGGTAGTTTAGAGGTATAGATATTTGGTTGGGGTAGTTTAGAGGTATAGATCGTTGGTTGGGGTAGTTTAGAGGTATAGGTAGTTGGTTGGGGTAGTTTAAAGGTATATGTAGTTGGTTGGGGTAGTTTAGAGATAAAGATAGTTGGTTTTTTTTAGAGGTATAGATATTTGTTTGGGGTAGTTTAGAGGTATAGATCTTTGGTTGGGGTAGTTTAGAGGTATAGATAGATAGTTGGTTGGGCCTAGAGGTATAGATAGTTGGTTGGGTTTAGAGGTATAGATAGTTGGGTGGGGTAGTTTAGAGGTATATATAGATAGTTGGTTTGGGTTAGAGGTATAGATAGTTGGTTGGGGGAGTTTAGAGGTATAGATAGTTGGTTGCGGTAGTTTAGAGGTATATATAGTTGTTTGGGGTAGTTTAGAGGAAAATGAAGTTGGTTGGGGTAGTTTAGAGGTATAGGTAGTTGGTTGGGGTAGTTTAAAGGTATATGTAGTTGGTTGGGGTAGTTTAGAGGTATAGGTAGTTGGTTGGGGTAGTTTAGAGATAAAGATAGTTGGTTTGGTTTAGAGGTATAGATAGTTGGTTGGGGTAATTTACAGGTATAGATGTTGGAATTATTGTGTTCTGTGTTCTAAATCATGTGTAGGGCATCTTTCCACTAGAGACAATTCACAGGATCACTACCAATTTTGTTAGGAGGAAATTGCCTAAGGTCAAGGTAAAAAAAAACTAACCTGGCAATTCTAGACTCTAACTAGTAAAATAGAGAGTGTAGTAATATTATTAGTTTTTTGGTTAAAAAGCCAGAGGTCAAGGTCTCTTTACCCTAATTTTGTGTGCAAGTTACACCATATTCCCAGGCATTATAAAGCTGGAAATGGGAGTAATAGATAAGATGAAGGTATTGATTATGTACAGTTCTTTTGATACCTTGGTCTCCATTCATGAATCTTTTAAAGGTTCATGCTCAAGCTTTTTTTGTTTGACAGGGTCCATGTATGGTTGACCAGCAGCTGTTAGTGCTGCCAGGAAACTCAGACAGTCTGAAGAAAACACCATCTTTTAAGCAGAAAAGTATGTCTGTTTTAATTTCCTAATATTTGCTTGTACTGGAGTCAGATGTACAGATCACTTACTACCTCACTTTACTAGTTGTATGATTGATTAACCCTTTCACCACTGAAGACCATAATGGACTCACCCAGATGAATGTGTGGTAGAGTTTACTCAAGTTACATATATAGGGGTGAAAGGGTTAAGAACAAGGATCAGTTTCAACACATTCAGATTTCGACTTCAATACTTTTGTTAGCAACATATAGAACTTGCTATTGTCTTTTCTTACAAAAGATTTTTTTTTCAATATTTTTGAAAAAAAACATTTCTGTAATTTATAAAAATAAGTTTCAGCAGGAGTATGATAAGTAATGTTGTATATAGAAATGTTACCTCAGCATGCTGTATTTTATATGTTGACAATGTGGGACTTGGTCCCGGAGTCCTCATCTAGATATCGTTGAGTTTACTAACCTAGAAACATGTATGTGCTTGCTGCATGGTTCTTAAAGACGAGGCAAGTCATGTTGCTATGATTAGCCTTGAGGTCTGTCTCTGTCTCTGAAGACTTATTTGCTTCATTCTCTCAAATGGAAATATTTTGCTGTGATTGTTTGAATATTTAGATGAGAAATACTGTCAATCAGGGCCTCTTCATCTCCCAGTGTTTTCAGTACTTTTATTTGAAACACTTTTTCCAACATTTGTAATAACAACCAAAACAAACCAGTTATTCACATAACCTATACTGATTCTTGACAGGAGTTTTATGTAACACATAACCTTTTTATGTAACACATAAATTAAATGATTTAGAATTACACCTGTATATAACTGTGTTTATTTTGACTGCCTTGATAGCAACTGTTTGTATCTCATCAGATCGTAAGCCATCGGAGAAAGAAGAAACACCAGAGGAGGAAAAATCCAGGTTCAAATCAATATTCGAGAGGTGGATGAAAGACCCCCAGAGACCTACCAAGAAACAGCTGGAGGACAAAGGCATAATAGAGTGTAAGTTTTAACCACAAATGGATTTTAAGTTACGGCCGAAAATAAATTATAAGTCATTACTGAAACTATGATGGAAATGACATCCTAAAATAGAGGGTATATCACAACCAAAGTATTAATCACAACCAAAGATGGAGTGTAGTCCTCCATACTAGCAAACCACTGACACAATATCATGACTCTAGGCCTCCTAGTTCTTCAGAAGAAGCTGTGTGAGCAAAAACTAAGGTGTAAGTCAAGGCTGAAAATATCCTGTAGGTCATAACTAAACATGAAGTGTAAGTCATTACTGAAGAATTCAGGAAAAATTGAAAAAAATATTGCTTTATACCTGATTCTATTTCTGTTTCAGATAATGTGTTTGGTGGTTCTCTGAAGCAGGTTTGTGAGAAGGACAAGGCTAAGGTCCCTAAGTTTGTACAGCGGTGTATAGCAGCTATAGAAAAACGAGGTATGTACAGCAACCATAGAAAATAATGTATACTGTGAACAACAATGTATGACAACCATAGAAAATAATGTATATACTGCATGTGTACAACAATGTATGACAACCATAGAAAATAATGTATATACTGCATGTGTACAACAATGTATGACAACCATAGAAAATAATGTATATACTGCATGTGTACAACAATGTATGACAACCATAGAAAATAATGTATATACTGCATGTGTACAACAATGTATGACAACCATAGAAAATAATGTATATACTGCATGTGTACAACAATGTATGACAACCATAGAAAATAATGTATATACTGCATGTGTACAACAATGTATGACAACCATAGAAAATAATGTATATACTGCATGTGTACAACAATGTATGACAACCATAGAAAATAATGTATATACTGCATGTGTACAACAATGTATGACAACCATAGAAAATAATGTATATACTGCATGTGTACAACAATGTATGACAACCATAGAAAATAATGTATATACTGCATGTGTACAACAATGTATGACAACCATAGAAAATAATGTATATACTGCATGTGTACAACAATGTATGACAACCATAGAAAATAATGTATATACTGCATGTGTACAACAATGTATGACAACCATAGAAAATAATGTATATACTGCATGTGTACAACAATGTATGACAACCATAGAAAATAATGTATATACTGCATGTGTACAACAATGTATGACAACCATAGAAAATAATGTATATACCGGGTACAACAATGTATGACAACCATAGAAAATAATGTATATACCGGGTACAACAATGTATGACAACCATAGAAAATAATGTATATACCGGGTACAACAATGTATGACAACCATAGAAAATAATGTATATACCGGGTACAACAATGTATGACAACCATAGAAAATAATGTATATACCGGGTACAACAATGTATGACAACCATAGAAAATAATGTATATACCGGGTACAACAATGTATGACAACCATAGAAAATAATGTATATACCGGGTACAACAATGTATGACAACCATAGAAAATAATGTATATACCGGGTACAACAATGTATGACAACCATAGAAAATAATGTATATACCGGGTACAACAATGTATGACAACCATAGAAAATAATGTATATACCGGGTACAACAATGTATGACAACCATAGAAAATAATGTATATACCGGGTACAACAATGTATGACAACCATAGAAAATAATGTATATACCGGGTACAACAATGTATGACAACCATAGAAAATAATGTATATACCGGGTACAACAAAGTATGACAACCATAGAAAATAATGTATATACCGGGTACAACAATGTATGACAACCATAGAAAATAATGTATATACTGGGTACAACAATGTATACCAACGGTAGAAAAAATTGTGAAAGTTCAACAATATATCAACAGTGATGCAAAGCTGCTTTAGAAACAATAAAATATTTTATTAATTGAAAAATAAATCCAATATTACAAGGAATTAAATTGAGGATTACCATCTGACAGTCATCTTCGCTAGGCAAGGTTTATGATCCGGTACGATTTACCTTAGCTATTCACTGGTGGAGAGAGTAGAAAGGCCAGATCGTACCAGATCGTAACCTTGGATAGCAAAGATGTCTGACAGTATGTTAATTTAACAACAACAAAAATTACCATTATACTTTTTAAACTGAATATAATTTAAAAATCAGTATCTTGATTTTGAAATTAAGTTGGTAAACATTATCAGCTCTAGATGACCAGTAGAAATATTTCAAAGTTCTGAGTGGTAACCTTTTCAAACCTTGTCTAGGAATATTCAGACTAACCTGTTGAAATGAGAATTCAGAGATGTTGAAGTAGAGTGTGTTGATATGTACAGGTCTGGACCAAGACGGATTGTACAGGATCAGTGGTAACATGGCCCAGATCACCAAGCTACGGTCAATGACAAACATGGGTAAGTCCAGTAGGAAAAAGTCCGCCGGAAACCTGTATTTGGCATGTTGCATATCTTTTTTTGCACACATAGGAGTCAATGGTTATAACTGCCGAGTCTACCATATATAGTTGTGAACAATTTTTAGGCCTGGGGTCGAATTTCCATAGGCCCAATCACATTAAACTGATGCCACACTTGAGAATGTCAGCTTACAAGGTACTCAATATTTTCAGCTTAAATATATATTTTCATGCACTTCAGAATCAAGATTTAGATAAATATAGCTCCAAAACTGGAAGTCAGCTTGCCGCCTATGTGATATAGAGGTTTTTCTCATATCCGGTCATGTAAAATAACGCTGGCCATGTAAGATAGCCATGCTTGCTGAGTCTATCTTACATGGGCGTGACCTTACAATGGCTCAACAATGGTGTGACGTCACGAATTTGGAAAACACTGATGCCGCAATGTGGAAAAGGCAATGTAATGAAATTAAAACTTTTTACAATATATTTACTGTACACGTTAGAAAGATGACATTATTTGTCATTGCAAATATGGGGTATGCAAAATCTCGCTGACGAATTCGTTTTTGTCAAAAAAGCTCAGGGGGAAAATTGATATTTTCAAAATCGTAGCCAGTCCAAATGCATTTTCATGGTTTCTGAGCTTATTAACCCTGGTAGTTGGAATGAGAGAAAAATACTCTTTCATGCCCAAGGGTAAAGGATACGGAAATTCCACCCTCAGGATATTCAAATTTGACAAAACCCTCGGCAAAGTCTTGAGTTTTACCAAATTTGAAAGCCCCTCATATTAACCAAAGTTGGAATTTCCCTTTTCTACTCCCCTGAACATGAAAGAGTCTTATAATCTCACATTCATACAGATGGGAGAAGTATTAATGATTCATGGGTAAACTTGTATACTGTATAGCGGTTATATTTTGCGGGTGTTTTAATTTCGCTATATTCGCACTTTGACTAATTTCCGTGAATTCTAAACACCAGCGAAATTATCGAAAATGGTAACTACTTTTACGGACCTTATCACAACATGTTGAAAATACTTATAACCCAATGCTGTTATGCAAGCTAAAATGAACTCAAATCAGATAATCACCAGAAAACATGGCAGTCACTGGCGGATGACGACGCTCTGGATCAGTGTTTTCAAACAGTTTACCTGTGTTTCGAGGTTTAACCCTTAAATGATGACACTCAAAATACTTTGCACAACACAAGGGATTCGGGTGCACAGTGAAATTCGACCCTCGCGAATGTGTACTGAATACGAAACCGTGTAATATTGACACTGCAAATTTAAAGCGTTATACAGTACATGTATATAAAATTCAAAGGAGTAGGATTTCAATTTGAAAAAAAATAACAAGTGCTGTAGAACCATTTATTTTTGTGCAGTTAAAATTTCGTGGTTTTCATATACTAGCCTGTTTCAAGGACATTTTATTTCGCTGATTTCTGATTTTCCCCTATCTATATCATACAAAATTTATGTTTTCGTGGGGATTTAATTTTGTGGATTTCTGTTATCCACGAAATAAACGAAATTTAATGTCCCACGAAAATTTATGATGTTACAGTATGAAAGTAATAGAATATATATAAACTTTGGAAACTTGGAATAAAAATATCTATGCATGGTACTTTCACATTTACTAACAGAAATGTTTCTGCTATTTGTATGGCATTGCTGTAACAATCTGCTGTGTTGTATCGCTATGTTATCAACATTTTACAGGATGATATTTTAACACTCTGGAATGTTATTAACATTGTTATATGTGAGATGTGATTTTACAGATCTGTTGGCGTTGATGGGCGAGTCCACTGGTTTGTAGTCATGTACAACGTACTGTAATCATTTTATTGCTGTGCAGTGTAGATATTTAATCCTGTGTGTGATATCTATACACTATTATACCCTATGATCTCTCTTCAATTTCACAAGTATTTTTTTTTATAATCTGTGAAGTAATACTTGTTCTCTTTATTATCTGTCACTACTTAACTTTCACTGTTAAAATTTAGTATACAGTATACAGACATATGCAAATATAACAATAATCAGTAATAATAAACCATACATTTATAAACTTATCTGTCTCAGGAAATTAGAGTGGAGGGCAAAGAGTGCTGTCCAATGTCCATGTCTGTCCATCTGTCCATTACATGGTGTCTGAGGTCAAGGTCACTGTTACTAAAAATAGACCATGGGGAGAAAGGGTTAAGGTCCTCATTTTAGAATAAAAAATACTTATCTTTTTGATTCACTCTGATATGTAGATGTGCAATAGGGGTTTTAAAACGTTTCTTATTTCAAGCTGGTTGTCAATAAAAAAATGATTTGGGGTAGAGTTCTTATCTTGGTATCCAAAAGAAGACAACTCTTTCTGAAATTCTACATGAATGTGTAACTGTGATACGTAGAAGTGCATTACAAGTTTAAACAGATTTAAAGGTCACTGTTACTATAAATAGATCATGGGGGTTAGGATCAACACATGGCCTTTGCTGACCTGTCAGTGTTCTACATCATGGTCAAATTTCAATTAACCCTTTCACCCCTAAGTAACTTAAATAGACTCTACTAGACATTCATCTGGATGAGTCCATTATGGTCTACAGTGGTGAAAGGCTAGGGTTAAACTTTATGCAGAGGTTATGTGCCAAGGTAGCTTGTGCAGTTCCACATTTCAGCATTTCGCACCATAGGTCAAGGTCATGTTTACTATTTTTTCTTAAAATTAATAGTTGGGTTTCCATGAAGTCAAATTAACATGGCAGAGGGATCTACATGTTTTACACAATTTTCTATATCTGGATTATTTCTATAATTTATAAGGTTTGATAAATTATTGAATATTTTAAGAATTCTAATACATGTGTGTATTGCTGTAGTATATTTTAGTATCAGTGTGACATATTTCAAGCACAGAATTATTAATCAGGAGAAAATAATATTTAAAAACTTTATCGAAAGAATTGGTATATGTCAGCAAAACATATTTTGGTGGGTTAGACGTTTTGTAAACATTTTGTTAACTAGATAAAGGTATACAAAATAACAGTTGAAAGCCATTACAGTGCTGTCAACATTAACTATAATCCTTTCAGCTGGCATTGTTGGTTTGTATCCATTGATATCCATTGGGGAGGCACATTAGTCTAGTGGTAGGATGCCGGGCTCGTGACCGAAGGGTTGCGGGTTCGAGTCACGGCACGGCTCTGTGTTGTATCTTTGAGCAAGATACTTTACTCTGCTTGTTCCAGTCTACTCAGCTGTAAATGAGTATGTGGTTGGGCAGTGTTAGAATTGTTGAATGCTAGCTGTAGGCGCCGAAATGGCAGCTCCGGCTGTATGCTCCCCAGGGAGTTGAGAAAGATACTGGCTGGGTGCAAAGGCCCTATAACCATTGATAATAATTTGTGAACCGCTTTGAGACGACCTACGAACTAGGTTGTGTTAAAGAGGTATATAAGAACCTCAAATTATTATTATTTTTGATTGATGATGAACACACTTCATTATAGAAACTACATATCAAGTTATCTACCTGATCGAAACTGGAGGCTTAGAGTTTAAGGTTAAAGTTACTGTCATACAGTGTGATGATTCTCTGAAAATCATTATTTCACAGAACCTAGCTCATAGAAATTGAACAAACTTTCACCACAGATGCTTCATATAGAAATACATGTCTAGATCTGCTTAGAAAAAAATGGGCCAATAGGTCAAAGGTCAAGGTTAAACAAAGCGTAGCTGAATAAAGCCATTTTGGTACATATATAACAACTTATTCTACATATGCAGCATAGCCGAATTGGCAGCGATTTGTGGACAGCTCGTACACATTTTACACCGTTGTGTACATACGCGTCACTGGTCATTTGTCTGATGAAGGTGACAGTGAATATACCGTACTAGTCATCGAAACATTGCAAAGAAACACTTATTGGTCGCGTTACAAGAATCCTTTCATCAGTCAAGGTTAAACAGTTACCATTTATGAACAAAAGACTCAAAGGCAGATTGAGATTATAAGCAAATAATAATTTATTACGAAAACATTTTACCTACATATATGGGCTAAGGGGATATAACAGCTGTGATACTACTAATAATACTTTCATGTATGTACCCGGCCAGCTGTATTATAGCTGTTGACTGGGCAATGTATGAAAGAAACATATATGTACCCCGGAATAAAATTCTTGGGGGATTACGAATTACAAAATGAGTAACTGCCCAAATGAAGATGTACCACAGCTGAATACCCCCAAGAAGATAATATAAAACAAATTTATAAACGTTATTAACATCACTATCTTATTACAAGATAACAATAAATGAAATTCTCTCTAAAATTTCAATGTTACAGGGACATCGTTTTCTGTTTTACAATATGTATGATATATATTTAACTCCTGTGGTTGAACTCTTTCATTATCTTGCAGTAACGTCACGCTTTCATTTCACTTAGATCAGGTTCTATCACAAGCACTCAACCTAAATAGCTATTATCGCACATTGTTGCAAGTTAGAATCGCACCAGTTCAGTCTGTCCTTGATGAGTTTAAAATTGATATGACCTTAGATCTAATGTGTCCTCTGACCTTGATGTGACCTCTAACTTTGATACAATTCTGAATATTGATGACACATCTGACCTTAATGTAACCTTTGATTCTGATATAGCCTCAGATCTTGATGTGACCTCTGACCTTAATGTAACTTTTGATTCTGATATATCTTCAGATCTTGATGTGACCTCTGACCTTAATGTAACCTCTGATTCTGATATAGCCTCAGATCTTGATGTGACCTCTGACCTTAATGTAACCTTTGATTTTGATATAGCCTGGGGTCTTGATGTGACCTCTGACCTTAATGTAACCTTTGATTCTGATATAGCCTCATATCTTGATGTGACCTCTGACCTTAATGTAACCTTTGATTCAGATAAAGTCTGAGATCTTGATGTGACCTGTGACCTTAATGTACCCTTTGATCTGACCCAATCTGACCTTGCGGTGTCCAAAGACATTAATTGACCATTGTTCTCTGACCATACCACATCACATTGATATTGCCCTTGACATGTCCTCTAAACTTGATGTATTCTGTGAAATGATGCTGCACATACTTGTCAGTATTTCTGAGGAATCTCCTCACATTATGGTATTGAGGAAAACATTGATCATTTAGGCTTATAATGAGTGATGTTTGCATAAAGACTAATATTCTGTGATGTTTCCGACTGTTTCTCAGTAATGTTTTAGAAAAGACTAAAACTAAGTCATGCTTGAGTTTAAGCTTTTTCTGAGTCATGTTTTATTTTTGACTTATTCTAAATTAATACTCAGTAATGTCTTAATTAAGACTTACAAAGTAATATTTGAGTTAAGACTGTAACTCAGTGATGTGTTAGAAAAGACTAAAACTAAGTTATGCTTGAGTTTAAGCTTTTCCTGAATGATGTTTTGTTTTTGACTTATTCTAAATTAATACTCAGCTAGTAAGGTCTTTTAAAACTAAGACTTACAAAGTAATATTTGAGTTAAGACTGTAACTAAGTGATGTTTCAGTTTAGACTTTAAGTCAGTAAAGCTGTTCAGTTTTACATGTAGTTTAGCCTGCAATGTAACACAGCTTGTTTGTAGTCACAGACGCCTCCTGAGTTTGATATATGTAGTGTGTTATTCAGCCTTTGTTATTGTTCAAAAGCACTTTTTGATGTTTTTTTCAATACTCCTCCGTTTCAGAACATGCTCTGTAATCTATTTATTTCCAGAACCTGTCAAATAAGAACCATCTATTCTATGTGTTATAAAAATATATTATGTAGATAAATTGAATAACCTGTATACAATTAGAATTTATCTAACATATTAAATTTAATAGATATCACATAATTCGGCATTACTATCATTTTAAACTAAAAATGTATATGATAATGATTATGCACTTAAGGTGTATATCTTTTAATTTTGAATTATTTTTGAAGTTTATTTATCTCATGATGAAAGTTTTTTTGGGGAAAGGCCATGTATATACTTATTTGCTCAATGCGCTTCAAACAACTTCAAATTAGATAAAGAAGACTTTACATACCATTAGAAGAAAAAAATATTTTTTTTAATAGAGAGCTCTAGAAGAACTATTTGGCTGTGTGTTTATATAATATAAATTTATGAGATCTTACCTGATGAATGTTAATGAAGACATGTATTATATTTCTAATTTGATATATACTTATTGAAAAATGAAGTTTAATCAAAATGAAGTGAAAAATTATTTCAGGATAGTGTGCTGTGTCTACCTGTTATTTAATAAGAATGAAAATCACCAATATAGTGTAGCTGCTTCTGTTAATATAATTGGATGGTTTTAGCAGGCAATCATTTTATCCTATATTTGGATAATTTTGCAAAGACCATGAATGTTTCAAGTATTTAGATAGTTGAGACGTCTCAGTCAATGTTTTCATATTTGGGTCGTTTTTAGGAGACCATGAGTGTTTTATTACTCACTGAGTTAGTCTTGAGGAGACAGTGAGTGTTGGTTTTCTACGTTACAGACAAGTTCGACTATGACCTGGACAACCCGGATCTGTGGGACATACATGTGTTAGCCGGAGCCCTGAAGTTGTTCTTCCGAGAGCTGAAGGAGCCCCTGTTTGCCTTAGCTCAGTTTGACAAGTTTATATTAGCCATTGGTAAGTGTTGATCTAGCAATGCTAATGTCACATTCTTCACTTAGCTCATTCACCCCTGAAGACACATTTGAACACCTCCAAACCTAAGGTAGGAATAGTTCATTACAAAATTTCAGGGGTGGATGAGTTAAACATATTATAAGTAAATTAACTTTAATAGGTATATAATAGGTTACATTATTTGACTGCAAATACGATATTTCTCCACTTTGGCCAGTCCTTTTATACTTTGGGTGAGAGGTTATTTGTAATCAAGTACTGTATGGTAATTTTGGTGGTGATCTGTTATTCCACTTAAGGGACATAGCAATACAAACATACTTTCTGTATAATCATTCTTTTCAAATTTCAGGCAAGAAGTCACGATTAGATAAACTGAAAGGTTTGAAAGAGCAGGTTAATGCATTGCCAAAGTATAACTACGAGACACTCAAGTTTCTGTGTGGCCATTTAATAAGGTAAGTCTGTCGAGTTACTGTGTGGCCATTTAATAAGGTAAGTCTGTCGAGTTACTGTGAGACACTCAAGTTTCTGTGTGGCCAGTTAATGAGGTAAGTCAAGTTACGGTGAGACACTCAAGTTTCTGTGTGGCCATTTAATGAGGTAAGTCTGCCGAGTTACTACGGGCACTCAAGTTTCTGTGTGGCCATTAATGAGGTAAGTCTGTCCAGTTACGGTGAGACACTCAAGTTTCTGTGTGGCCATTTAATGAGGTAAGTCTGTTGGGTTACAACGAGACATTCAAGTTTCTGTGTGGCCAGTTAATGAGGTAAGTCTGTCAGGTTACTGTGTGGCCATTTAATGAGGTAAGTCTGTCCAGTAACTGTGAGACACTCAAGTTTCTGTGTGGCCATTTACTGAGGTAAGTCTGTTGAGTTACTGTGAGACATTCAAGTTTCTGTGTGCCTATTTCATGAGGTAAGTCTATCAGTTACTGTGAGACAAAGTTTGTGGGTGCACATTTACTGAGGTAGGTCTGTCCAGTAACTGTGAGACAAATTTTCTGTGTGCCAATTTACTGAGGTAGGTCTGTCCAGTTACTTTGAGACACTTAAGTTTCTGTTTGCCCATTTACTGAGGTAGGTCTGTCCTGTTACTGTGAGACGAAGTTTCTGTGTGCCAATTTACTGAGGTAGGTCTGTCTAGTTACTTTGAGACACTTAAGTTTCTGTGTGCCCATTTACTGTGGTAGGTCTGTCCAGTTACTGTGAGACAAAGTTTGTGGGTGCCCATTTACTGAGGTAGGTCTGTCCTGTTACTGTGAGACAAAGTTTCTATTTGCCCATTTACTGAGGTAGGGCTGTCCTGTTACTGTGAGACAAAGTTTCTGTGTGTCCATTTACTGTGGTAGGTCTGTCTAGTTACTGTGAGACAAAGTTTCTATTTGCCCATTTACTGAGGTAGGTCTGTCCTGTTACTGTGAGACAAAGTTTCTGTGTGTCCATTTACTGAGGTAGGTCTGTCCAGTTACTGTGAGACAAAGTTTCTGTGTGCCCAATTTACTGAGGTAGGTCTGTCAAGATACTGTGAGACACTTAAGTTTCTGTTTGCCCATTTACTGAGGTAGGTCTGTCCACATACTGTGAGACACTTAAGTTTCTGTCTGTCCATTTACTGAGGTAGGTCTGTCCAGATACTGTGAGACAAAGTTTCTGTGTGCCCATTTACTGAGGTAGGTCTGTCCTGTTACTGTGAGACAAAGTTT